TGGGATTTAGGAAATCCCCCATCCTCACACACTCCTTCAGCCTCTTTCTCCCCTCTTTCTAGTTTTGCTCTGAAGTTTTTAAAATTACCTCTTCTGTAGAGACCAGGTTATCAGCCACGTGAGACACATGCTGTGTTTCTATCAGTAATCCCCTCCTCAAACAACAACACGGAGAAGCAGCAGTCCAAGGCGGAGGAGGAGAGGGGAGGGGCTGAGCTTGGACAGCCTTGGAGGCAGCTGCTAGCTAGCTCCGAGAGAGGAAGAGAGAGGGGGGCAGGGAGGGGCTGCTCAAAGCAACAGAAAAAGAAAAAATCTGTGAGGGAAGTCCGCAGTCTCCACATGGAGTAAGTCTTCTCCTCCCTCAGCCATTGGCAACAGCTCCCAGGGACGCACGGGCGGGAATGAGCTCATCTCGAAGAAGAATATACACTCCCAGTTGCTAGGAGAGCCTCGGAGGCTGGAGGCTTTTTCGCAACTTTAAAAAAAAATCGGGAGTTTTTTTAAAAAAAACAGGATGTGGGAAAAATTGTGAAATAGCGTGACTATGCCGCCAAAAGCGGGCCATCTGGTCACCTTATTCTTAGGTCTACAAGCTTTAGCTTTGCGGGCATAACACAAGCAAAGCTAATGATGGCAAAGCTATGGCTAGCATTAGCAAGGAAAAGAAACCTTGAGAACTGTGCCAGCATTATTTTTAGCTAAGAAAACGATGTTTGCTTGTGCTTGTGCCATGTGACTCAGCAAAAGAACATCCTGTTCCTCTTCCCCTATCCTGATTTCCTAGGCTCTGGAGACTTTGAAAGTTATATGAGTGATTGTTGACTAAGGCAGGACCCCATGAGGTGACAAAGCAGGCAGGGGAGGATAGGAAGCATAGGCAGGGAGTGCATTGAATGCCCTATAGTCATTCGTAAACTTGAATGACCCTGTGGGCACTATAGTAGCTGTAATTTAAAACTGAGCCATAAATATTTTGGGGGATGTCTGCTGTAATTTCACTAAATGATCCATCCTAAGTAAAGGACTATCTGTATGTATAAAAATATACTTGCAAACATATGTATGACACCCATACTCATTTGGAAAGTGTAATTTGCGGCTATTTCCTAATGACATTTTTTTTTCAATCCACATTTATCCCACTATAACAATAAATCCCTGACTTACCAGATTTTAGTTTTATTCGGTTTTGGCTACAATAGACAAAATTTGCCTATGTAGCAAATGCTTTGGTGCAATTGTAAAGTCTCACTTATCATTTATGCATGCAAAAATATATAAAACAAGCCATGCATAAAATTCCATTTAATTTAACTGACATTCTATTAAAACCTATTTTCCCCATTTGCCTAATAAATTGATGGTTTAAATGGTTGTATCTAAACTGTCCATTTTAACTCACACCTGCAAATACTTTTTTGTAATTCATATATTTACTAATAGACGAGTTAATACGAAAACATCACATTCTCTCTCTATAAGTACAATAAGTAATAAAAAGTAATTTGAAATGTATATACCCACAACATTTTAGAAACAAAAGATATCAAAATTTCTTCACAAAAAGAAAAATAAATGTTCATGTACGCATGTACGCAATCAATGCAACCAATAATGCACATTTAGATGTCATATTCTGCCTTTAAAGTAACATTTCTGTCACTTTAGTATATATAACATTAAAAAGCACTTGAGGTGATTGTAATTTAAAAAATAGCACATAGAAAGAAGGAATGAAGTTTGAAATGGGCTTTATACATTCTCAATCTGCTCAGTCCAAAGAACTGCTGAATTACCTTCCAGGAGTCAATCCACACAATTTCATTGTTAGCAATTTATGTCAGACCTAAGTACGCTACTTTTGACCTGGATCTGTAGTTCCAATAGTTGCCACCACCACCACCACTAAATGCAGTCATGTGACTGCTTTTTGGGTTCTTGGCAACTGTACTGCATTTATGGTCGTTTGTAGCGTGCTGTAATCAGGTGACCATGTGTTATGACTTTTTACTGAAAATTGTCATTTACATCATTTTCTAGCAAAAAAGTCCCATAGTGAACAATGGGTTCACATAATGGCTGCCACAAAAAAGACTGAAAAATCTGCAATAGTCACATGATGACCCACTTAATAATTATCAGGACTTATGGCTATAATTGCAGGTTCAATTATAGTAAGTCAAAGACTATCTATATTAAAATTGTGTAGGTCTAGGACATTACAAGTTTAAATAACTATCTGATGAAATTTATAAGCAATACCTTTTTCCATATTTTTAGAATAATTTACAAAAGTGCTTTAGAATATGAAACATCTGCCTGCAGCTTTTAAAAACATTTGCATCTTTCTTGGGATTTCACAGGTGTCCTTTTTTGCTGTCATTTTATTCTAGGAAATTATATGATTATCTTTGCATCTCCACACAGACAATGAAATCCTTTGGAATCAAGATTGAGCTCCTTGCTAACAAGAACAAATATCTTTTTCTAATCTTATTTGGTTAATATTTTTGACCATACAACTCTAATGATAATTATCTCCAATTACTACATGTAACCATTGTTTAGTTTGGCAAGAATAACTGATCTATCAATATTATTTGTCCTCTCAAGATTCTTTGCTTTTTCCAAATTTTGATTTATGACTGTGGGTTAGATAAAATTTCTTACAGGTTTTTCATCTCATCCTCACACTCCTGTTTAGTTGCTTTGGCTGGAAGCCAGCTTCTTGTGCAGCCATGTTGCCATGCTGCCGCCCCTACTTTGATTCAGAGGACAATCTCTGACCTGCGAGAAACCTGTTGCCTCTCCATGGGTCTGATGCCCCCCCCTCCAGGAGGGGTCTGATCTAAAAAGATCTCAGAATTGGTTTGTCAGACAGGGTTCATGTGATACTCTACAGAGCTCACATCCCCCACGTCTGTCCAGCTGGAGAACTTCCGGTTGACTTCATTTTCACAACTATCTTAAAAGAATTCAGTTGAACCACATGCTGTTAGAAATGGGAGGTTCAAGATGAATTTTGTTTTTAGCAGCCACCACCAAGTATTTATTAGGTTGTTTAATTCACCACCAGACCCTTATTATGAAGTCAAGGTTACAAATTTCTGCTATTTCTACTTGCTTTCCTATTGAAATTCAGATTTTCTAGAAAATTTTCAATCAGTGAAAAAGACAGATTAACAGATCAACACAGTTGGAAGGGATCTTGCAGGTCATCTAGTCCAACCCCCTGCCCAAGCAAGAGACCCACACCATTTCTGACAAATGGCAGTACAATCTCTTCTTGAAAGTCTCCAGTGATGAAGCTCTCTCAACTTCCAAAGGCAAGCTGTTCCATTGGTTGATTGTTCTCACTGTCAGAAAAGTTATTCTTATTTTTAGGTTGAATCCCTCCTTGATTCGTTTTCATCCATTTGTGATTACTAGACACATTGTGCTGAAGCTCATATTTCTTAAGGCCAACATTGTAACCTGACATAGCATGTACCTCTGCTGTTGTATGATATCATTGGATGTAAGATTAAGACCAGGAAAATATTCAGTGCAATGTATAAGAATCTAAGGGAAGTTATATAATATGTTAAGAAAAACATCCTATTGTGTGTTTTTGGGAGGCAATATTATATTTCTTACAATTTCTTATTTATTTCCATCCTAAGCTTTCTGTTTAAGAACAGAGAAGGAGGCTGCTATTTGGATAAAAAACAGAACACTCCCTGGCCAGATCCTAACCTAAAAATAAAGGAGGGAGGAATGCATGCATGGATTAGTCTTTGCATAAAAAAACCAATATTTTATTCTGACTTCCAAGTCAGTTTGATTATCCTCAAGCAATACAATATGAATAATGCTTGAGAAGACATAATGAATGATTCAATGACTTACTAACTTGTTCATTATAGATATTACAGTTAGATATAGTAACATTATTGGAATTTAATGCCATCAAGATATTACTTTATATAGTTTGTAAAGCAAAGATAATGAAACATTCATTAGCATTAGGTACATACTCTTTGTTACCACGCCTTCCAGGTGTATAATGTTGGCATGATCAAACTGCCCCATTATGCTTGCTTCTCCCAAGAAATCCCGCCTTTGTTTCTCAGTGTAGCCCACTTTCAGGGTTTTAATGGCCACTGGCAACTCACATTTCCCAGGAAGTTTCATGCGCCCACTGCATACTTCACCAAATTCACCTACAAAAAAATCGCCCCTCAATTAAAAGAATTAAAACTAAAATGTGATAATGCCTGATGACTTTTGCACATAAATCTAAAATATTTATTAATATTTCAGGATTTTTTTTCAAAGAGAAGGACTGATACTCATTGACTGCATTTTTATTCCAAGTCAACCATAATTTTTTGAAGGTGACTGAGCTCCAAGAAACGATCCAAGTTATCCAAGGAACTTTGTCATTAAATGAAGACTTGAGTCAGATTTCTATTTATAAATAGGAACACTATTGCTCCTGACAGATGATCACATTTTTATTTTATTTTAAATTAATATTGTTTAATCATCATCATACATAAAGCTCTTTAGTGAATCATTTTATCTACAGGAAACTTAATTTTGCTTTCATAAATAATTTTACCAGTGACGGATATAAAATATAATTTATTTTCAATTCATTTATTGGAAATCTATTTGCATTGAATATTTGTTAATGCAGTCCAACAATCATCCTAATACATGTAAAAAGTGATGAACAGCAATTAGATTTTCTTACCAGCTCCAATAACTCTCTCAATTGATATGTATGACACTTCTATTTCTTTGGCAAATTCATGAACAGCTTGATTAGGGTCTTCATAGGTATGTGGATCAATATAGGTCTTTACTCCTGGTAGTTTAACTGTGTATAAAATTACTTATTACATTTTTCTTTACAATATGCAAGGAAATTAAAATGAAACAGTAACTTTCAAAAGCATAATATATGAGTATTTCATATCACTGTCATATCATTTCTGAGTACCACCACAAACCCATTACTTAAAAAAAACAGATGGTCTAAAAAATTTAATCAATAATTTAAGTCAATTGAGTTTAAAGCGAATTAGATGACTGAAATATATTACAATTAATTAGGCCATTCTATTTTATTAGGGAATGTTTTTCATAAAAACTACAGGTATCAGGTTGTACTTAAGAAAAACATTTGTTTTCTCCTCCTTTTTTATTTATAGAGGGACCTATTGACTTTGGAGATGAACCCTACTATACTTCTTGATTCAGAAATTGGTTATTAGTCTTCCATGTACTGAAAAAAATCTGTAATACATTAACATATATTTCAAATATATATTTCAGTAATAACTTAAATTGTAATAAATTATAAATTGATATCAAGCCATAAATTGGAATTATTATTTGCAGTATATCTGTAATAATAGAAATAAATCTACTTATTAGATACTTACCGTGTTTCCCCGAAAATACGACAGGGTCTTATTTTCTTTTTACTTACAAAATATGGTCTTGGGGCTTATTATAGGAGAGAGCTTATTGTTTTGTCATTGCCGGGCAGTTGCTCCCTTGTGAACTGGCTCCCGAAGAGCCAGGCACAGCCTCAGGGGCGAAGCAGCCATGAAGTGACCAAGCTCACGAGCAACCCCCCGGCAAACCCCCTCTCCAGCCGGGCAGAGCACCATTCACTGACCTAGGGAGTATCCCTAAGGCTCCAAGACATGTGGTGCTCTGCTCGCTCCCCAGCTCCCACAGTTTGGCACATTAGGGATACCCCTTAGGTCAGTGCATGGAGCTCAGCCTGGCTGGAGAAGGGGGCTGCACAAGCGCCTGTTCCGCCCCAAGCAGGCATGCCTCCTAGCCTCAACATGTCTGGGCCCAGCTCTCCTTGCAGCAGCAGCAGCTGCCACCACGCTCCAAGCATAAAGTCTTCTCTGTTTCCAAACTCCAAAACTCGGCTGCCGAGTCTTCCAGCAGCAGCCACTCTAAGAGTGTGCTCTATGGTTGTGGGCTGGCTGCTAGAAGACTCTCTGTCCGCTTACAGAGAGTTCCAGCAACCAGCCCACAACCATAGAGCGCACTCCTAGAATGGCCGCTGCTGGAAGACTCGGGAGCCGAGTTTTGGAGTTTGGAACCAGAGAAGACGTTATGCTTGGAGCGCCATGGCAGCTGCTGCAGGGATAGCTGGGCCCGGACATGTTGAGGCTAGAAGGCATGCCTGCTGGGGGCGGAACAGGCACTCATGCAACCCCCTTCTCCAGCCAGGCAGAGCTCCATGCACTGACCTAGGGGGTATCCCTAATGTGCCAAGCCGCAGGAGTTGGGGAGCGGGCAGAGCGCCACGTGGCTTGATGCTTTAGGGATACCCCCTAGGTCAGTGAATAGTGCTCTGCCTGGCTGGAGAAGGGGGTTGCACATCAGCGTGGTCACCTCATAGCTGCTTCACCCCTGAGCTGTGCCTGGCTCTTCGGTAGCCAGTTTGTAAGGGAGCAGCCGCCAGGCAACTCCCCCCTCTGGCCAGGCAGAATGCCACTCCCCAACCTAGCGGTATCCCGAAGGCGCCAAGCAATGTGAGCGCCTTTCTCCCCTGGCTCCTGTGGCTTGGCGCCTTCAGGATACCGCTATGTCGGTGAGCGGTGCTCTGCCTTGCCGCGGGGGAGGGGCGTCCAGGGGGTTTATTTTCAGGGGTGGGCTTATATTTTTGCCCACATGAAAAATGTGGCAAGGCTTTAGTTTCAGGACAGATCGTATTTTCGGGGAAACACGGTAGGTAATGGGACAGATTTTTATCAGCAGTTCAGTATTTTTTGTACCCATTTGAGAAAGACAAACAATACAGAAAAAAGAACCCAACAAATCAAACACACCAGGAGTTCTGAAGAATGGGGATATGATGCTGGTTCTCTCTCCATTCCTACACTGGAGCATGTGAAGCAGTGATTTACTATACTGGATGCCCAGGATATCTATTCTTCTGCCATCTCCATAAATTGTGTCACATAAATATTAAGCTGTATACTGTGCATTGTAAAGACCAGCAACAAAGCAAAACAAAACAGCTTTTGCAAGATTGTTATTTAGCACATTCAATGAATTTTACTTACTATGGCCATTATGAAAGTGCATTTTTTCTTCTTCAGGATCTTGTTTAGCTTTGCTATAGCCACACCGCCTGTTATGAAAAACTTATCATTAAAAAAATGTAAGGAGAAAAAAATATACATATGTACATGCATAAATATATCTATATAGACTATAGCACAGAAATATGCCATTATTACTTTAATAAATAGAGCAGTAATGGTAGCTATGAAATGAAATGCATAGAAAGTTCATTTAAAAGTTTGTAAGAAGAGAGTTGTAGAAATTAGCACTTCAGAGTACAGTGATAAAAGTATTTCCTCACTAAAACAAAGGTTTCATTAAACTTTATATTGCAGGATCCAATCTGGGTCAGTCACCGGGACCAGATGTTTTGTCTTCCGAGCTTTTGCACTAGTGCTGGAGTCCATTTTCAGGGAACTTCTCTGTAGCAAAGTGTGTGCTATTCTGTGTGTGGTATTTATTTATATGGTGCCTGTTGTATGTGGCTTTTTAGATGCTGATGGGAGTGTGTTGAACATTACATTGTCATAGATCTGGCTGGCCAGGAAACATGTTCTAAAGTGTCTGGCTAGATAAAAGTTGGAGGGACAGAGAAGGGTTGAAAGGTACAAGAATATATATTTTTCTTCTTACCTTCCGCTGAGAAGGAAACCAATTACAATAGCCAAAAGAATCACTCCCACAGTAACAGATACAGCAATTATAGGGATCTGACGCTGATCGCTAGATGCAACTACTGCTGAGAGGAGAAACAAAAAGGGATATGATGATTAGAATTGCTGCCAAGACTCAGAGGGGCTTCAACTTAGAAGCTAATGGAGAAAGACTCAACTCCAGATTCTTTAATATAGACTTAAAGAAAATATGATGATCAAACACAGCCCTGTACTCCTGGGAGAACATGTAGCTACTTTAAGGAGTTTTTAATAGGGCAGATATATAAGCATTCTCACACATTACAAAGAATGCTTTGTCTATCAAATTAAAAGCACTTACAACTCCAATATTTAGTTATTAATATTTAGTTTTGTAGTTTTTTTTTGTAGTTTTATTAGAATTTGTAGGCCGCCCTTTTCCCTGAGGGGACTCAGGGCGGCTCACATAAAACTGGGAAGGGGGG